TGCTTTTTAGCCAAATTCATCTCTTCCGAATGATCGGCAACAGCGGTGAGGACCAACATGGCAACCAACAGAGAAAATACTTTCAATGTAACTGATGTGTTGCGAATGCCTCCAGAAAGGAAGGCTAAGGGGACGGCCAAGATTAACCTGGTGCAAACATATGGAAGGAGTCTGTTCCTGACTGCATTTGTCTTTTGCCGAAGCTCAGACTCTGGCACAGGATCGGGAACGTTGGAAGCTGTCTGACGTGTCTGCCTCCGCGACACGAAAGGAGAAGCGGCGATGGAAGATGAAGATGAAGATGTAACTGATCACATCTGTGGTACACCCGCAGCTGAAAGTCTAAATACCCACTATAACAATTCTAACAGCAAAGTGGAAGCTATTCTTCTAAAGAAAGTTTCAAGGGAATCAAGGCACTGTTTTAAAGTAAAGTTAATAAATACTAATTATATTTAGATAGGCTTTGAAACACGATTCTCTTATGATAACAGCAGTTCAGACATCACAAGTTATGCGAACTCCCAACTGATGCCTAAGGAAGTTCAGCAAGATTTCATTAAAGATGACATGCAGCATGAGGCATTCATGAGAAAGAAGTGTTACCCCGCGACGGAGTGACGGCTGGACCCGTTTTAGTTGTCTATGCAGCCTTCACTGCCTCACCAATTTGGACAGTCATCGACCTTAGCCGCCTACGGAAATTGTCCTACGGCGGCTTAAGTCACAGACACGTGCATTGGTAGCGACAGACATCAGAGGAGGAGCATGGCGAAATCTCGGTCGTGCGGCAGCAAGTTTCGCCGCAGGCAGAAAAATAGGCACTTACCCAAGTAAAACTGAATCAGTTCATGTTTCAAGGCACAATCCGGAACGATTTCGAATTCTAGCATCCAGTTTCAACATAGGAATAAAAAATCCGAAACGTTGCGCCGGCGGTCTGGTCCGCAAAGTGGAGACGGACATATAAACTGAGTCATCAATTACAGATCGTTCGCGAAAGTACAGTAAAGCCGATATAATGAGCAGGTACTACGCATGGATCATGTGTAAGATTTGAACAAAGAAAGAGTCACTACAAGTTGATCGGTCAGGCAAAGTTTGTTCTTCTGCAAGAAATACGGAGAATATTGCGTTTCAGCAGATAAAACTGTGCAATTATCGCGATACAAAATGGTTCGTTTCGCATGAAAATTCACCCCGGCATTAGAGGTTTACGAACAAACTGCTTGTTTTCGATACCAATAACAGTCTGCATGGTGAATGACAATGAAGACAAGAATGACAATCTGCGGTCGATCCTCCAGATTTGCGCGGCGTATTCGTACCATTCCCTTGCTTTTAGCAACCTAGGCCCTTTACTGTGAACAGAGTTTGCATCCATGCACTTCCGGTCTTAAATACCGTGGAACCATAGACCGCTT